ACGTTTGCCAATGCCCAGAGCTTCCATTCTGCCTACTTGATAATCTTGATCGGCGAAAATCGCGAACCCAAGAACTGGCACTGCGAAGTGGATAGCCTCTTCGCTGCTCTGCAGACCACCTTGGTAAATGAACAACTTGACGTTCGGATGAGCTGAAAAAATAATACGATTCGTTGGATGATTTGTCATCGAAATGCAGAATCACGATCACGAGTAGGACCATACCGAGAATGCTTTGCTGAGGCAACCATTTCGCGGTGTAAACATTGCCAGGTTTCCCGGGCAAATCCTTTTCGTATTTCCAGACCACTCTGTAAGGCAACGCCGCGAACACGTCGCGGAATACGCGTTGTATCTCCGTTGGCAAAGTTGAGCTTCTAGCGTTGCTACCGAGGCTGAAGTAGATAAATCCATTTTTGGCGCCGTCTACGAATTCTTGCAAGTCCTGCAATAGCAATAATTGCGATTGAAAGATCGTCGTAAATGTTGAGAGTCTCAATTTTATTTTATAAACGAGCTCTGTCAGTAGGTCTACAGAAAGTTGATGGAAATATCAGATAGTCGAGAGATTTGTTCAGATAAATATAGTGCCGAACTTGAATTTACAGTGATAATTTGCAAACGTCAGTGAATTCTTTTGCTTCCGGATTCTTCTTAGAAGTTAAATTAAGTTTTCTCATCTGTTTATTCACTACACCCGCAAGCGGGACCGTCAGAATTAACCGTGGTGAACCCTTTGAGTGGTCATACGCTATCTCATTAATGACAGTTTCGTATTTCAAGGTACGCGCGAGATAATTATACGGATGATTTGGTAACGTAGCTAATACGAAAAAGAAAAAAAAACTAGAATTCTAATTTACTATTTCTAATTTAGAATTTATTACTATTTCTAATTTAGAGAAAAAACTAGAATTATAATTTACTATTTCCTTTTATGGATCCTTTTTTCAAAAAGTATTTAGTACAGAATTACACGCAGAGGTCTGTGAAATGTTAATCGCTGCAATTTGGATATTATCACTGAACTTGTGAAGTATCACAAACTTTATTTAACTTTATATAATTATTTATGATTTTGCTCGAAAGTCTACGTATCGACACTGCTAAATGTAGTACGTGCAATACAATCGTACTCGCAGTAGAGAAATCATTGCTTAATATAGAATAACAATTTGACGATTCAGTAAATCCATACCTTGGGCAGAGGAGGCAGTTCGTCCTGTATGTGGAAGGACGTAAACGAGATTGCGTTAGTAGGTTGCGGTCGAGCCGGTGTTAATACGCTGGCCTGATTAATGAATAGCATACTAGTGTTCTTCATAATATCTGTTAACGGCGGCAGTGGCCCGAGATATTTCTCCGCCAATTGTTGATTAACGGGCAACAGTTCGGTGTACAAGAAGTGTAAGAAACGCCAGAAGCTCACGAAATTCCATAACCTCTTCAAGAATGGTAAATTCGAGCCTGTGTTGTCTTCCATTTCCCACGTGCTCTCGTGAGAAGGGAGGACCAATCCGCCAAGGATGTGTTCGTTCCATGCAATTAGCCCTAACGAACTTAAACCTACGATCATGAAAAATTTGATCAGACGAATTCGTCAGGCAATTGTTAACGTAACATATTGCATAATTAA